TCTCCGGTTCGGCCTGCGCGGGCCCCAACATCTGCCTCGGGGCCTGAACCTTCGCTGCCCTCACGCACCGGTATCTCCACAGGTGCTTTTCAGCCGAGGTACGCAGGGATTCCTCTCTTCCCCCTGCCCCGGCCCGGAGTCTCAGGCTGAGGAACAATGATAGATCTGCCTTCATCATCAGAACAAAATCTCGTGTTTCAGTAGCCACTGTCACTCTGTCCCTTTGAAATGTGGGGCGTTAGCTTAAATTTCAGAGTTGCTTCGGTAGCAATGGTAAAAGCAGAGGAAGTGGCAGAACTGATTGACAGAGGTTCCTCCAGATGTTACACGACTGTGGAGCACCACAAAAGCCCTGTGTTGTGTTGCTTTCTGTGCTGTGTGTTTCGAAGGAAACCTAATTAATCTTCACTAGAAAACAAACCCAAATACAGCGATTTTTAGTGACGTGCTTTTCCATGCGTTCAGCTATGTCAAAATAAATCTGGAGCCAATAAATGAACAATGCACCATATGTGGGAAACCAGCCTAGTTTTGGCCACAATAACTCTGGGCCTTCGATATTGTCATTCTAGCATGGGGACGGTGAACTAAATTAGTCTAGCAGCCCCCACATGGTTCTACAGGTACTCGAAAAATATCTAATTGCTTACTTTTTTTTTTCCTCCTAACAGCTAACACCCATCTGTTTTTTCCAGAGTGGCATAACTGGTCTATAGAGAACACATCAGGAAGCCAAGCGGGTGATTGTCTATGCTGTTTATTTTTATGTAAGTCTTTGATGTAGATGGGAGACTATAGAAAAAAAATTGAGATATTAATAAAGTAATCTTAAAGTGTTCAACAGCAATCAGTAAGACTTATTATTTGGAGGACAAGAGCTGTATTTAGGTTCTATTGAAATCGACTATTCTTGACAGACTTTCTTAAGGGTGGAGAAAATAGTAAGACTTTTGATGAAAAACAGCTGAAATTATTCCCTTTAAACAGTGAACAATTGGTGCTTAGAAGAAATGGGACAATTGATTTTTTATTTAAAATATTTAAGAATTTTATTGCACCAACAATGGGAATCCAACATCCTTGAAAAGAAGTTATTTCCAAGATCATCTGCAACTGTTCTATAAACTGGCTTTAAGTGGTACTTAAATAGCTTTTAATACAAGCATTATGTAAAAGTCTGCCTCAAAATGAGTTTATCTCCAAATAACTCTGCTTCATGGAAAAAAGAATAAAGCAAGGAGGGGTGAAGAGGGTACACAAAGGGAAGATATGGTTTTCATTGGCTTTTAATATGCAGGCAAATATGAAGTCAGAAATAGTGACAGTCTTCTGAAGTTCTCAGTCTTCATACCCTGCAGGCTGTGTGGTCAGTTTAATCTTTCTCAGGTTTGTTAGGAGATGAGTACATGCCTAGGGATGCTGTGTGGGAGGGATGCCACTGGCTATAGGTTCTCCAGGAGGTTTTAGGACCTCAGACAGAGCTGCAGTATTGACAGACAGGCAGCCTAAATTGAATTACTCCTCTGGACTGAAACAGTGCTCTGGATATGGACACATCCTATGTCCAATGCCAGAATTCCTTATGCCCGCGTTTCTGGTGTGGCACTGGGTGGGGGCTCAGAACTCCCTTGCCCCAGTGTTCTGAGTAGTTGCTGAGGTTGCCTCCTCACCTGCTGGTGGGCTCTTTCTCCACATGCCATCATGGAGCAGTAGCACATTTCCAAGAGGCTCACCTAGGACGTGCATGCCCAGGGGTTTTGACTCCAAAGAAAAAGCGCTTCCTCTGGACTCAATGGAACGCACACAGTCTTCCCCAGCAGTTCGGGATGAAACTAAGAGTGAGTTTCCATCTCTCCGTCATTTCTTCCTCTGTTCATTTCCATCTCCTCACTGATGCCCCAACACTACTCTTCCAGTCCTGTATTTCAGTATCTCAAACTTTTTAAGTCCTTGTGCTACCAGACAGTTTATCTTCTTCACAGAGCCCCTAGTGCCCCAGATTTTCTATGTATCAAGAAGCATTTCTGGTCTTGAGGTTGAGTATTTGAAATGGAATCATAGGCAGATGAGAAGAGGAAAAGAAGTTTCTTCAGCAGCAGAAAATTAGATGAGATCCTATGCTGCTGCCTGCACAAAATGCAGAATTTAAGGGTGACCTTAGAGAAAATCAGGACAGTGTTCGGGGAACTGCAATGTAAATTCTCTCGAGTGCCTAAACTTTCTGTAGCACAGAACAAAGAGAAAATTCCTCTTGGAGACTATATAGACTGGTATCAGGTATAGTAAAAAAACAAGTGTCTCATCTAAAAGTGTGAATCTTGGCATTCTTCTTAAATATTTTGTAGGTTTTGGATTAGTCACAGCTTTCATGGTTTTAAATCTCTCATGTCCAGCAAGATAACTTCATGCAATAAGAAGAAGCTTAAAATAGGATTCTGGCTTCTAATTAAGTTAGCTAGATTTGTTATTAGCATTTTTTGTTTGTTGTTTCACTGATAATCATTTTCTGACCTACAACTGCTCATGAATTTTAATGGAATTTGCTGAATTTGGCTAGGAAATAATATGAAGTAGCCTTACTTCATCATATCATCTGTTTACATTTATTGGCCTAGGAGTTAGGTACTCATTCTCGAAGTAGGAAACTAGGATTCAATTCCCCCTTCTGGCTGAAAAAGATTGAAACACACATTTCTTCAAAAGCGACCAAGAACACTGCAGGAAAGGTTTCAATCCCTTCTACTGATCCTGTTCCATTTTGCATAAATTCCTGAGCTAGAGAAACAGTAGCAGGTCAGAAATTTGACCTCTCAGAATTATCAACAGATGAAAGTGTGTTCCACAGCGGGACTTTCTTCACTTTTCTTGCATAACCATGAAAATTAAGTATTCCATCCAAATCAAATGAAGTGTTCTTTTCAACAACTACAAAAATTCCTGCATTTTTTGCTGGAAAGGAAAACAAAACTGTTCCTGCTTCCTTCTCTTTGTTTCAGTTCAGCAGCCAAACTGACAAATCAAATGTTGACATTGTTGTATTTCAATCCTAATTCTTTTATAGACATTCTGTGCTGTCATTTATAGCCTGATCCAAAGCTTTACTGAAGCCATTGGAAAGATGACCAAGTTTCCATATTTTATAGAAGAGGGGTAAAGTGGTGGGAATTTTCATTAAGTGGTTTCAGACTGTTGGAGATGTTTTCTCAAGCAGTTAAAGTTATTGCTACCCTGCTGTCAGAAGTTACATTTCGAGATTCCCTCTTAAAAGAGAGCATTTAAAAAGTAATTATTAACAGAATACAGTTTGTTATAGGAGTCTCAATTGCTCATGCGACAGTCTTAACTTTTCCTGGTTCTTAAGGAAGAGAATAGGCTTGAGAGATGGAGGATTTAGTTTATTACCCTATTATATTTCTTGGTGGAGACACTGGGATAATGTCATTTATATTGTATTACTTGTATTTTGCATTTTAATGGGTAATGGTTGCTCAAGAGTATTTTATTTCTGTAGGTGCTAAATATGGCAAGTACAGTCCCTTCCCTCATGTCAGCAGTAGAGTGTGGAACCAATCTGCTGGAAATTTAGAAATTAATCTCTTCTATAAATATTGATTTGAAAAATTCATTTTTTATAGGAATTCAGTCTTTTCTCTAAGTCTTTAACAGCTGACAACTCCTCTGTTCTGCTATTCTGTACCCCGTTCTCTGCCTTCCCTGAATATGTCGCTATTTGTAATGAATACTTAAGTAACAGCAGTATTGCTTTTTCTCTTGGTAAAATGTATGACTTTTTAAGAAATAAGTCTACTTTCAGTATATTTCCTTGCAGAAAGCTAGTTTATGGAGTACACTAAATTTTTCTAAGTATTGCTATTACGGCTTTTTGGCAGCAACTCAGCAGGCAATGCCTATCTAGAGGAGCAATTAAGGATGAGGGACTTAACTGTTTGGACAATTAAGAATGGGTACAGCACCTGCTCAAGTGTCTCCTTAAACGTTTTGTTGAAGAATGATATCACACTTTCAACTAGTAAAGTTTTCCTCTCTCTTTTCAAAGGGCAGTTGCCAGCTCTGGAAAACGTCTCTCAGCACGCACTGATTACAGCATTAAAGGCAAATATTAGGATGAGTGAAAAAGGACTGGGTCTCATAATCATACAGAACGGGCCATACCTCCAGATAACAAGCCTTGTTGAGAAAAGCTCTGCAGCTAACAATGGAAAGCTAAAACCAGGTAAAAAGAAACAACAGTGATATTCAAATTTAATAGCATTGAAAATATTCTTGTTCTACATTTATGCTTTGAGCCTGTCTCTGATTTATTTACACTTACGCAGATCAAAAGAAACTAAATTTAAAATTACAGAGAAAAGAAACTAGCACAAACTGTATAAAGCTCAGTGCCGGCATTCCATTGTAATGAAATATCTGTGATCTTAAAATAGCTGATACGAGTGACTGCTTCATAATCAGATCAAGACTGAAGTCTATATATTGTTCTCCAGCAAAAACTGATTTCCTATTCATCAGCAGGTTTGTCCAAAAGTAGTTTGACTGTTACCTTTATATAGCAACTAAACTTGAATAATACCGTTCTTTATTCAGTGCATTGTTGTTCAAGGAATTTCACTCTACAGGTAATGCAAAACTTCACAAAGGCTTGAAATTAATTTGCCTTATTGTTTGCTTTTTGTTTCCCTTTATTATACAAAACAGTTAGGAAGTGGCAGTGGACTAATCTCTGTGCTCTAACAATCCATGCAGGTGTTCATTTGCTAAATGCTTTAAATTTGAAATGTGCCATATCGGTACTAACAGACTATTACTCGTTATTACGATTTCTTGTGTAACATCAGACACTTGCATTAAGCTTGTAATTGAAAGCTCTGTAAATTTGGCTGCTTCACGTGTGTCCCTAGACATGAGTTCATTAGACTCATGAACTACAGTTTGGGGACAATAGTGTTATTACCAAATGTTATTACCAAATATTAAATTGTCTCTAATGTAGAAATCTATGACGCTAAGACTTGAGTGTAATGAAGTAATTTAGAAATTTACTGGCTGTGTGGTGAAAATGCATATATTTAAATGAGAACAATTTTCCCAGCATTGCCTTTATAGTTTGGGCAGTCCTTTCTTCTCTCACCTTTCAGAGAGAATTAGAATTCCAAGCACTAGAAAGACAGACCTACTTGTTTGATGAAATAAAAACCATGAAGTGGAAATCTTAACCTCTTTTTAGAAAAGACTTTGCACTTTTGATCCAAGTATAAAAATCAGTGGAAAAATCCTGAGCATAGAATAGAAATGGTTTTGAATTTGAACTCAGTACTTTTAGTATTTTTTAAAAATTATTGTTATCTTAGGAGCAGATAGCTTTCATCTGTTCTCTAAAAAGAACCCTATGGTATACAAAAGCATATATAAGATACTGATTTGGTTGTTGGTTTGTTTGGGGTTTTTTACATCTATAATGTAAAAAATGCAGAATATTAATCACTGAAATTAAGTAGTTCTATTTGCAAGTTTGAAAAAAAAAGAAAGCTCTGAAAGCACTTTCAATAAAGGCTACAAGAACAAGAAGTCAAATTATTTGTGGCATGTGATATGTTTGATTTACTGCAGCAAGTACTTAACAGTTTAAAGGGGGTTGAGGACTGGTAACAAAACATCATCCCTTTGCAGCCAATCTTACTTTTTGGAGCCAGAAGAAACAATTTGAGCATGCTTCCTGGAACACCTGGATCAAACTTGGCACACTCCACACACACACACAAAAAAGCAAACAGCTGAATTTGTTCAATTCATGTTTAGAGTGAACGTAAAAAACTTCGTATTTAAGACCAAAGCTGTAAAATTTTGTGGAAAACATAGTATTTTGCAGAGCTCTGTCTCTTAATGATACAGAGCACACAGACAGCACACTTATTTTGATGCTAATACAATGTACAGAGCATGGGGCTTGAGAAAAATGTGATGCACAAATGCACTGCTTAGGAGTTTTTCTTGCAGTAAATAAAGTTTTATTTTTATGGACTTATTTTTCAGTTAAGTAAGATGAGTATTATCTGTACAATTTCAAACTGGAACCTAAAACAACAATTTTATTACTGCTTATATCTTTCGAGCTGATGCCATTCTATTGACTTTAATAGGGAGGAGGTAGTGGGAGGCGCTAATGTCTTAAAATCCTACGGTTAAACTCACCAAACTTGTATGTATGTATGCATGCCTTATTCTCCATGCCAGCAAGGAGAAACAGCTTGGTACTGTGAAAACTGCTTGGTACCTGTGTTTCCTCAAAATACCTTCATATTGCAAGGTTTTTTCACATAAAATGATGTGAAAAAACCACTGAATGGTATCAATCACAAAACTGACAGGTGAACTGAAAAGCTGGGTGGTTCAGGCTCTAGATGCTGGAGCGGAGGAGCAAGAAAAGTTATTTACATCTGCAGTTCAGAGATGGCTTTGACTCACCACAACAGCGTTATGAGGACAGTATAGGCAGAAAAAACAGAATTCTGAAAGAATCTATTAAAAGTCAAGAATATCTTGCAGATATTTTAAAGCATAAATACATTTATGTCTATGCCTTTTGAAACACGTAATTTGGGTGTTTGAGGCTGAGAACTTACATAAAACTGTTGGTAAAACGTTCTCTGTTGCTTTTTTAGTATCTGCTATCCTAGTACTTGTTCTAGAACTTCTTGTTTGCACACCAGTGGAACCAGTATCTTGTGATAAGCCAGAGTGGAGAGAGGGTATGATAGAAATGGAATAGAAGGAGTAGTTAGTGGAAAAACTGACTGAAAAAATGGTAGTGAGTAGTTCAGGTAAACAGTTTTAAAGCCTGTAAGTTTTTGCTACAGGCATTTTTAACCCAAAAGGTCTAAGAGGAAAATAGAGCAGATGGAGAGACGCTCCTTGCTCTGCCTAATATGGCAGCAGACAGCTGTACTGCTTGTTTCAATCCCCTGTGCTGTTCTGTTGCAGTTCAGTACATAATGTTTACTGATGCTGTTCCTCTGTGCAACTGTTTCTGCCAGGCTGCTGATAGAGCTGTAGGCTGCTGCAGAGTTACTCTGCTTGCCTTCTGCAGTCTCCAGAATTACAGGCTTACCCAGTAATTGCAACTCCCCCCAACCCCTTGAAGCCCAGCTTGTTGTATCCTGTGGAATATATAGGTGCTGGGGCTTCTTGAACTGTTGTTCTTTGATGTGGTACTGCTTTTTGCAAAACTGCAGCTCAGTGCTTTCCACTGGCAGCAGGTAATAAGAACATTACTTGCAGCCTTATCCCTTAAAACAAACCAACAAACAATCACCACTGTTTTCTGCTGGAACTCTTCAGGTAGATTCTGCACCAACTCTTGCAGGCGTGTCCTGCTTTCCCCCCTGGCCTTGCTTGACAGTGTCTTGCAGTGTGTTCACCCCTTGGTCATTCTCAGAGTGGAGGGACGGACACCAGCTGCCGAGGAGAATCAAACCCTGGAATCCTCCAGGGGCCCAGACAAGCACAAGGTGACATGGCTGTTACACAGGTTCTCTGACATCCACCTAGGTAAACTTAGCCTCTGAGGAGGAAGGGGTACTCCTGGCTCCCTACCAACACAAAACCAGCAAGGTGACATGCAAGGGTAGGCACCAGATCTGTATAGACAGGGTATTCCAGCTGTGAAAAGATACAGGGAAGCAGTGGAAAGATGCCAGCAGTAGAAAGATGTGTAACCTCAGCTGAACCTTGCTGGGGTCTGTCTGGTCCCAGGTAGTGGTCCTGATCAGAGCATGCATCATGGTACCTCTTATCTTGTGTAAAAAACCCCACAGAAATGGAAGGTAGCACTGAACAGAAAATCTGAAGTTCAGCATGTTCGCTCAGAAAAATCCCAAAGTAAATAAGCGAACTACAGCTTTCCTTGGTGTTTTAAAAAGGTTAGTTGTTACTAGAGCTAAAAAAAATTTTCCTTAAAAACGAAAGAAAAAAAAATTGCATCCAGTTGGTTTGAAAAGCTGTGAAACACATGCTTTTACATAAAAATGTGAAAGCAAAGTGGTTAAGTCTACACATTTTGTAATAAGAACATAAAAAAAATCAAAAGTCTCTTAAACTGATCGCTGTCAATTTTCTTCCTTGGCAGGTGATGTTCTAATAAAAATTGGACATGCTAACATTTTAGGATGGACTCTGCGAGAGCTTGGTCAACTCCTGCACAATATTCCTATAGGAACTACTCTACAAATCCGAGTTTACAGAGATTTTGTTGAAGTACCTCAACACTGGCAAAGTGCAATTGAATTAATTCCTGAAGTAAAGCTTACTGTGATGACAGCAGAGTAAGAAATAAGTATTGTACAAAACTAGAATTTCACACCTTGCTTATTATTCTAGCAAGAAACAAGAAATAGTGTAATAGCTTTTTTTTTTAGGCTAAAATATCAGTCTAAACATTGACTTTCATTTTATATTTTACAAATACGAAAAGAAATGTTTACTTTTCTAGTTACAGAGAAGACAGAGTAAGGACAAATATTAATTTTAGACATGCCCCTTCCTGCCTCCAGAGACCATAAAAAGTCTAGCTGGCAATAACGCCACTAAAGTCAAAACTATGTCGATTTGTCACAGCCAAGCATCTAGGCAATTACAAGTAGCTAGTGATACCAAGAGGGGGGTCTTGCTACAACCATGTAAAAAGCTTATCTGTTTCTTAATCAGTCTAACTGCTGACAGTGGTTAATGATTATGACTTTTAAAATTAGACTTCAGGAAAAATAAACTTTTCTTGGGAGAGCCACTGCATACAGAAGCTTTTTAAAATATATTTCTTTCAATCCTAAAGGTGGCTTATAGATCAAGTATAAATGATCTGGATGGGATACAAGGCAGTTAAAAGTTTTCCTGAGAGACAGTGTTTTAACAGAAAAGAAACCTCAGGGGCAGGGGGAGGAACGGAAGTCTTAAAAGGCAGTCATGAGGCTAGAAGGGCAGAAAGGAAGCTCACGCAAGGGGCTTTCCAAGAGACTAAAGCTCTAAGCTTATGTTTAAATAAATCAAATTCTTTGCTATTCTGAAGAAGCAAAAAAAGGATAGCTTGCTTTTCTGTTGACTGAATTACATCTTATCTATTACTTTAGAGCCCAAAGGAAACAGTGGGCAAAGGACGATGGTCAGTAGCGTTAGTTTGGTATTAGAGGAGCTTCAGAACTAACAAACTTGTCTCTAAAACAAGTATTCACAACAAACTTAAAAGACTCCATGGTTAGTTAACTAAATGGATATGGGAATTATTGCATATTAAAAGTAATACCATGCTGTGTATTTTCAGCACAAGTGAAGATGCTGAGGACGAAGATGCTGAGGACAAAGATGACACCGGGTCCAGAAGCAACGATGATGTAGACTTGGAAACGTCTCAGTATAGATCTTCCCAGTCATACTGCTGTGAGTTCACTCTTAAGTTACCATCAATATCCAAAATTTGGAGTAGGCGCGGACATTGGTGGTGATGTTGTACTCCATAATGGATGTTGATGCATTGTGAATTATAAGTTTGATGCTGCTTCATACTGTGCTATGGAAAACAATGAGACCTGTTCCTCCTTCTCCTGCCCTTCTGCATCAGATACATCCTCTCCGGAAGAATTTGCCTTTGTTTCAGAATAGCTCAAAACTTGACTTCTTCAAAATCTAGATTTCTGAAGTTGTATCTATTTTCTTTTAATACATGTCTAGACTTCCAGAAAAAAAAATATCTAAGTGTCCTAAGGTATCTGAAATGATATATTAGCTACATAAAGCTGTTTTAGCAATGCTCTTCCTCCCCTCCAAGATGTCCGTCAATGCTACTTGTGGCGAAGACACTCAGAAACACTACCTCTGTTAGTCCCAGACAAATAGCAGCTGCAAGCTCTAAGGTGGTCTAATATATTAATCTTTGTTTGAAGGTATGTTTCTTCATTTACTTGATAGAAGGATGATGCAGACAGTTTATTAAGAAATTTCCCTGAATATACAAGAATACATAACAGCAAGTGGCAATTACAGTATTTGTCTGCATCACAGTGATCATTTTTGACTAAAAGTCATCTTATTTTTTCACTGTAGTTTTACCTTCAGTGTACAGAGCCAGGCTTATCAGCATTTTAGATACCATTTTCAGTGGAAAAAACTCAACACAAAATATATGAACTCAGCACTTTATTTGATGAGTGCAAGCCCACGATTACTCCAGATTAATTTTCTGAAATAACTGAATTCATAAATAACAAGTTAGTAGCGATCTATTTAGAACATAGGTGACTTAAACCTCAGGTCCATATTGAATCCACATTACAGTTGTTTTTACAACTCATCAAGAAAAGGAGTATTTCCCAAATCCCCACTAGCTGCCATTGATTTCTTCCCATTGACAAACTTCTTTGCAGCCTGAAAATAAATCAGAAAGATGGATATAAGGAAATATTCACTATAACAGAGTTTACTTTGCTGCTCATAGCTTCAGCTTTAAGTTATTAAAACAAACAAATCCCAACACTACTATAGTACATCATCAAGTAAACAATTTTCCTTTTGCTGTCGAAACTTACTTGCTCCTCATTACTTTATAATCTAAACAGGAATGGCAGAACAATAGTTCGATATAAAAAGGCATAAAGCCTTTGAAAATGGTTATTCCTAGAATAATTACTACAGCTCAAGATACAGTGGATCTCTCCTTACTACTAAAGCTATTGCTAGTTGCTACTGCAACACAAATGAATGATGACTGTGAGAAAACAAGTCTATCTTAGAATTTCTGATGGATTTCTGTGTGAAGTTTGCTTCAAGTATTAGCAACAAGATAATTTGGAATAGCAATGCAGCTATGTCGATTTATCATTGAAAGTCTAATTGTTTTATTAAGCACTCCAAATGTTCTAGACTCAGGAATCCTAAAAGCCTTGACACAGAAGTGCTTGCACTGGAACTAATACCAAGTTTTCCTTGAATACTAGCTGACAGTTTTGTTAAACTGAAGTGAAGTAGATGAGAATTTCACATAGTCCCAGCTACACTAGTTTTACAATGTATTGGATTAAAGAGTCTTCTGTTAATTAAGTAAAGACGTCAAAAGATAAGCCAGCTAGGATTTGTAAATGAGTTGCTTCTTTTTAAAGATAGTGTATGTGTGTGTTTACAAACACACACAAATAAGCGTCAGTTTTCTATAAAAAAAACTTACACAGCAATTAAGGAACACCTGTAGTTGCTGACACATACTTACATTCACAACATCGGCAGTGGCTACAGAGTCGATTTTTTGAGCAACAACAGATGGTGATGTGTGCGTGCCAGAAACCAATGACTCGGAGCCAATTTCATTCAGTAGCCCTTCTGCAGTCTCCACTGACATCAAATAGGTGGCTTTCAGCTGATTTCTGCCATCGAACAAAGCGTTATAGATGAATGAGTGTTAAGTAAGTCCTGTTACTACCTTCCTCACCACACCTGTTAAGTGCAATGAGTTTTTGGTGCTTTTTAAGTTTTCCAGATTTCTCTCCATTTTGAAATGTTTTCCTTTTCAAGTATGGAAGTGTCCTGTAGTTAGGAAAGAGGCATCACAAATTGTCCAAGTATGAAAGTGACAGGGTACTTGAACACCTACTGCCTTGGAACAATCAGCCACCTCACACAGTCAGAAGATGACTAGCTCAGCATTTGCTTCTGTTTGAAGGAACTCATGCAGGTACTCCAAGAATTAGACGAACTAATCTATCAAGTTTAAAAATTAGGTTTAAAATTGATTCCAGTTTCTCATCAAGAACAGATGTATGCAGAGCAATTTTGGTTGAAGTCACAAAGATGCAATGATTGTAAACAGTTAGGCTCCTTGTGCAATGGTTCTGTTCTTAAAAAACCAAACCAACCAAACAAAATAAAACCCCACAGAACTAATAACGTCAATTATAATGGTCCAGAATTCACCATTTAGCTACTAGTGATTAAGGCACAACCAATCATGTCTAGGTTGTCATGTTTTGTGTAATCAAGCTTTACGTGGTGTCTTGTACATATATTATATATGCAACAGAAAATATTTTAATTTTGCTGCTTGAGTAGATCTGTACTACACTGCTGAATTGCACAACTGCAGTTTTAGGGGGTAGGGCAGTTAACACTACTTGGAGATCAAGCACCAACCAATGTGCACAACCCTCTATAAATGAGAAACTCTAGAACTTTGTTGGTATTACTGCATCTCTAATAGTAATTTCTCCCATCTCAAATATTCCTAGGGGCACGTATTGCGAGCACTTGGATGCACCTTCACTAATTCAGTGCTTTGCACTTGCAGACCCTCATTACTATTATTCTTTGAAAATATGGATTTGTTAATATAATTGTTTTGGGAATTGCTGCAGTGCAATTGTAAAGGGAATTACCTAAATAATGCAATTTAGGATTCTAATTTAAATACATCTTAATACTACAGAGTATAACGACAGCATCTGCTGATACTTGCTTATTTCTTACACTGAAACAGTTTACAGAAAAAATTAACACTTATCTAAGTTTTTATTAGGAAATACCATTAGCAGAAAATCAGTATAGCTTTGAAGAAAGATTCTTGACAGTGCTTCAGTTTTAACACAGGAAAGTGAGCAGTTCCCCACAGAAATAGTTACAGGACAACAGTAAGCTCTGCTGTACGCAATAGTCTAAGTGTTTGACAAGTAGCTACATGTTAAGAAACTTCTCTTGACAACACACGAGACAGGTATTTACTCACTTACTTTGCCTTTGTGACATCGTCATCGGTGACGCTGCCCTGAGCAACTGCCTTTATCTGGTTCAAAGCAGCTTTAATGACCTGAGGAAAATTAAATCATTTAAGACTTATCCAGTATTAAATTTCAACATGTTATTTCTATTATCTGACACCTTAAAAACTTCAAAGAGCAGCTGACAGTGTTAGGGCTGTTAGGCTGAACTCAATGCTGAACAGCTTTAGAACATAACTAAAATCACTGTAAAAATGCCGAAGTGGACACAAAAAACAGTGTGCATTTAAATTGAAACACCACATTAATTTGAATGGTCTCACCATTTTTCATGAGAATATTCAGTTCTGCCAGCTCCAAGAGCCAGCATATTCCTCATGATTTACTTAGGCTTACACAGGTACATCAGCAGTTGCAGTCAGCAACAAGGTATTTTACTAGCTCTAGTTCATACTAGGCATTTGTACTTCCCAGAAAGCAAGTCTCATTCCCAGCTTACCGCGCTAAGTCATAACTGAACATGCAGCATTCTTATACAAGAAACCAGAGGAAGTGACTTTTTTTTTCAGATGAATCAGTCACTATCTCAAATCAAAACACTAGTTTGAGAGTTATTTAGTAAGTTAGTAAGTAGTTAATACTTACGTTCTCATCAGCAACTCACCTCTCCAGCATTTGAAGCCTGGGATATAGTATAAAACCCAAAGAGCCCAGAATCAGAGTAATTAACATTAAATGCAGAAGCCTGCAAAACAAACATTACTGTCAAGTTCAAGTATCAGAACAACTCAGTATCAAGCACAGGGAAATAATTACTATTAGGATCTAAAATACTGTAATTCAGGGAGCTAAACTCCATCTGTGCAGAGGAAAGATGGGACTGGAAGGCCTTCTCTGAAATACTGTACCTTGTGCAAGAATGAACCAATGAAGATTCTCGGTGGAGGTAGTAACCTCTCAAAGGATAGTATGCATTTTACTTAAAATATTAGAGTGCAGTAATGCCTTGAACTTACGTCAAATGGCTGGGTGGTTGCTTTAGCAATACCCTGGGACAGTTTGCTGGTAACATTGCTCCCCCTCTTGATAAGGGGTCCAGCACCTAAAACATGCTGAAGAACACTGAATGCATTCGCTTCTGCACTTCCGACAGCAGCTCCTTCTGTTACAATAGCAGCATGGACAAGGCTATCACCGTTCTGTTCTCTGATTTCTCCTAAAAATGCAACAGAATAACGCAGCATTCAGTTAGAAACTACTGTATGCTCAGAGGTATGGAAAGGAAAGATTTCTAGCCAAGAGTTAGTTTCGAGAGAGAGAAACCAGGGTGTGAAGTTACTGCATGTCCACTCAGGAATACAGCAAGAACCTGTTAGTACACTTAGGTCATACTGTAGCTTCCTAATCATTAGCTCCCTTTATGCTTAAAATCGTCAGAGGTTATTTCTAACTCTTATTAAAAAGAAACATATATAATACATGTATACTATATATCTAGTATACTATATATATATCTTTTTGAAAAAAGCATTCAAAAATTTTCTTGCAAGCACAAAACCAAGTACCTTACTATGCCTTATTAGAACCTGATCCTAAACCACACACAGTATGACATGATAAAACTCATTGAGTCTTCAGATGACAAATATCCAGAAAAGTAGTGTACCTTCTCTTCATATTTATCCTGTTTTATAGAAACTGAAGTTATTCCAGTCAAATATTAAATGCTGGAAAGTGGTTTTTTTTTTTCCCATTTGTTTACAGAGTGATCTGATACCCCAACTAAAGAATAGTTATTGGTCTTAGTACAAGATACTGCTCTGAAAGAGCTAAGCATTGCTTTGTCTTTTATGAAAGACTTACGACATTCTAACAGACCTTCCCTAAAAAGAAAGCCTACCACCACTTCTACACAGTCCTTACTATACTTAAGGAAAACTTCCAAAAAATGCCAAGAGAAACCATATGCCAGCTTGTTTTTCACTTATGGAATAAATGATCTTGCTGGTAAAGCTTTGCTGGAGATAAAGGTTCAGTTTTACCCCAGAACTTTCCATGGCACAGAATAATCCTCTGCTTATTTAGATGGGAGATGCCTCTGAAGCGTCACTTCCCATGTACAGCATTTAGAACAACTATATAGTTTTCAGTTGCAACTTTGAATAATACTACATTTATAATAATCACAAAATCAGTCATTCAGAACAGATACAAGTAACATACTCACCCCCTCGATAGACGGCCTTTGCACTAGAAATACCAGCTCCACTTCGGATATTTAGGAAGTGCTCTGCAACTTGCTTTAAGTCAGAGTGCTTTACACCTGCAATACAATAGTTTATTCCAAGTAATGTAATGGCATTGAAAAGCTACAGCAGTTACATAAAAGTGTTTTAAGTGTACCGTAACATTTTACTTCTACAGAG